ACTGAACTAAATCCCTGCGTTGATAGTGAGTTGACGTTTCAGGGTAAGCTGCTTAGTAAGCTGTGGTCTAGTCATCTAATATCGGCGAATGGCTCAGACATTGTTCTTATACAACATAACATAGGACTCCAGGCCGTGTGTGTTTCATTCATTTTCTGGAAAATTGACTAAATCCAAGACGGTGGCGAACAGGTCACGTCTGTTTCGCGGATCATTATCGCGGGATTTAAATGGGGCGAGGCACGCGATGCCACTGTATCAAAGCCTCAGCGACCCCAAAGCTTTGTCTTCAGCAAGGCTGTCATGGGTGGTCCACTGGTCCAGCGACAGGTCATGTCGAAAATAGTCAGCCAGAACTTCCAAAATCGGCTGGGTTCTGAGCAACAGGAGCCCCCCCCCCCCCTGAAGGACTAACAGGAACTCCTCGACAATCTAAGACAGAAACGGGTATCCTAGAGCCAGAATATCAAAATTCGCTGATGTGGTTAGCTATTACATGCTTGTTGCTTTGCCTTATTTTATTCATCAGTAAAATAAGCAATCTATATTTTCGCCATCATAGCGCGTTGATTTTTTCAGCTGTTGTATCAACAATAGTCAATGCCACCATCTTATGCATTATGTAGCATGTCGAATGACGCAATCTCCTCGTTTCTGCAGCCCCGAAGAAGTACATCACGGTGGAGTGGAAGCCGAATCAGGAGACTGATGTGGACGAGGGTGAACTGTTGGCCACGGGCGGCGGCCGGCAGCCGCTGCGGTCCCGCCGCGGCAGCCGGGTGGCGCCGGCAGCCGTCGGCCCTCCCCGGCCCGTGTCTCCGTCCCCCACCTACACAGTGAGCCCGGCGGCCGACAGCGGGACACCGGGCGGCGGCCGGCGCCGGTCCGCCACCTCCCCGCTGCCGGCTGTCAGCCAGCCGGCGGCGCCGCTCCGGCCGCAGCGGCGCAAGGAGGCTACCCTAGTGAACCAGATGGTGTTCTCCTCCCGGCCGCCGTCCGGGCTGGCGGCCGACGGGCGCAGCGCGGTCGTCTACCTGCCGCAGGTCGAGGTGGACCGGCTGCTGCGGAGCCTGACGGCCGCCGGGCCGGGACAGCCGGCCGGCGCGCTGCCCGGGGTGCCGCCGCCCCCCTCCACCGCCGGCCGTGACACCGGGCCCCCTCCGGCGGGCGATACGGGCCTCCCCGAGGCGCCGCCGCAGAACGCCCAGCGCCCAGCGGCGGCCAGAGGAGAGAGGTCGCCGCCGAGTAGAGTTCTGCACGGCTGCAATTTTCCACAGCCTAGCCGCCCCGCAGCCGTGGCTCCACAGCCACAGCCGCCCACAGCCGTGGCAAACTGTGGGCAGCCAGCCGTCAGCCGGCCGTTGATACTTTCAATGAAATGCAACCAAATAGTATATACTAAGTTGTTTTTAGTTGAAACATATAGCCAAAGGCACATTGCAATGGGCTATAGATTCTCAAGCTCATGAAGCATCATAGGTTAAGTGGTTGTGTATCTGGCTTTAGGCCGAAGGCCTGAAGCCTGATGCGCAATGCATGCCTACACAAGCCCTTGCAAGTTGTTAAGAAAGATGGGTAGGTAGGTACCTACATCAACAGAAAACATAAACAACAAACCAGAATAGAAGCACTAGCAGTGTAGACATCTAATGCCAAATCCTGAAGCATGGTTGTGGGACAGAACAACAGACCCTGATGCTTTTCATTATCAATGTTAGGTATGGAAAATGAAACTGAAGTTGATGGACTGTCAAACAGTGATTGTCTAAGTCAAAACTCTTGCTTCTTTCTTACCTTGCATATTTTCTGGGGTGTGATATGCCAGGCTTGAAGCAGCCTTCCGAGCAAGTCTCAAACTAATTTGATATGCAAGGCATCAAAACACTAGTGAGCATCCAAGAAAGAAAAACATTCATCTAGTTTGATTTTTCCAAATAATGATCTTCGCTCAAATCCCCAAGGACGTGCGAGCCACAATTACCTGTTTCAATCAAAAATTTTACTTGAGTTTTTAATGACGTCAATAGAAAGGAAGTGGCAATAAATTGTTTTGTTTCACTATAAACAGCCATAAAAATTATAATTTTTTAAATAATAACGCTATGCAGTTAAAAACTTGCTCTAAAACAAAGATCAAGTATCAAATTTTTACATTTCTAGAAGAAGACGTCATTTTGTTAGTAAAGTCAACAGCTCGCGTAAGAAATATTGTGTTCAGGGTTTTCACCGTCATGTGAATTACGTGTTCAGGGTTTTCACCATCATGTGAATTAACCGTAAGTAAGGTTCATGCTCACTTATAATCTAATTCCATTGGCTTCATTGATCGGCATTTTCTGTTAGCGGTCACTCACACACCAGTTAGAACATAAAGCGCCAGTTTTATATTTTGTAATTGGACTTGCCGAAAATCCAGAAATTCATCTAAGAGGTATTTTAGATAATATTTTATGAAGCCTTTACCTGCCTTTACCTAGGCATGATTTCTTTTTCTATTACCTGAAAGAATTATTGAACGCTCGTCTTCAATAGCTGTAAGGTGCTCTCCTAATGACCAGGTGAGATTGATTTGAGAGGGATGTGACAATGCAACATGTTGCATTTTCTGAAACTGTCAAGCTCTTGATAATGAAGGAACAATTGGTACCTATTATTAGTATTCTGTACCAGAGTGCAAACTCCCCTACAGCAAATGGTAAAACCATTACAGGTTCTCAAAGGCTTCACCACTTTCAATGTTGCTGGGCATCCTTTGCATGATTTTTACAGGCTATACTGCTTATCAGAATGTAAGATTAAGGATTTAAAATTTTATATTTGAGTACTTAAGATTGAGCTTGAAATCTCACAGCCGTGGCCACAGCCGTAGCCGTGTTCTTGGAGATATTTGCAGCCGCCCCGGCCCACAGCCGTGGGGCTGCAGCCAGCCGCGGCTGCAGCCGGCCGGTGCAGACCTCTACCGCCGAGCCACCCACCGGACATCGGTGAGTACAAATTTAGATTCAACACTTACCTCCGAGGGATACCCGAGGTCATACGAGTACGCCACTAAGAGCGCCGGGCTGGTGCTCGGCGCCACTCGACTCGGATCGTTAAGGTGTTTAAACACCTTAACGATATGCATGCTGGCCCTCCCCGTCTAACTTGACTCCTGCAGGCAATTTAGCGGCCACACGGGATGAATGGAACGTCAAAAACCATGAAGCTAATCATTCGGTCAGGTAGAAAATAGAAGGTTATGTCACCAGAGGTCATTAAAGGTCACATTTCACCTATCGACAATTTTTTGACAAATGAGCTTGTAACTCAAAAATGAATTAGAGCTACATTGCCGGGGAAAATCGCATTCGATTACACCTTTAATGTTCTTTCTGAAATATGTATGCTGGCAGCGATTCTATTTCCAATTTTAAATCACAGTTGCTTTAGGCACTACAAGCAATGTGTGGCTTGATAAACATGTTGTTAAAGGGACAGTATCACCACTTTGATGAAATTTGACATTGCATAGGCCCCACCTTTCTGGTCCGGGAACTGAAGACCGATCCTCGAAGCTCCACACCGTTATCCCGCTATCGCCGCTCAAAGTACGAAAGGTGTACTACACTTTGAATCGTGCTTCACTATCTTCACTGTTTTTTAAATGTTTGCGCCGTTTTGAATTGACCGCCAGTAATAAAACTTTTACCCTGGTCATTTCATCAAATTTTATAAAGCCAAAACGTTTTTCGCACTTATTCATCACCGTTAAATTCATTAAATAGTCGTAGGCAATTTCCGCTGTTTCCTTCGGATTCTAGCGGCTCAACAAAGGAATTCCTCCAGCTTGAATCACAATCTCCCTCCAATGTATGACGTTTATCACGTGATTGTCACGTGATATTTTCTCCCATTGTCAATTGTCACGTCCAATTGTCACTCCCTCCAATTGTCACGTTATATTTTTATAGGCAATACCTAAGGCTACCTCTCCCTAAGGACAACTCAATCAGAAGAACGACCGCGTAAGCGTAGCGTCAATAATGTATTATCTGCGCCAGTTCTGTAGTAATTTTGCATGCTTCCAAACTGGCGGCCATGCTTGTATAGTGGTGGTTCGCGATAGGCGTTATCACAAGTGTATTCGCGGCCATTGGGGCGACGTAAGAAAAGAAGAAAACAATTGGCCCCAAGAACTTTAAATTATCAGTTAGCATGCATCTTTTCCTTGATCTGTAGAGAATTTACCATTAATTGCTAGAGAAAATTGCATTTAAAATCTTCCATCTATGTTTTTTTCATCGTTTGCACAATACGTTCTTTTATTAATCTAGAAACACTAATTAGAAATAGTTCCCGCATCATCAAGAACAATAGGGAAGGCTTGAAGTGAATACAATAATCTAAACGGTGTTGTAATCTATGTGAAGACACTTCTAAAATTGCCTGTAGAAATATTGAAGGCAAAAGTTCAACTTTTTCACAAGACGGATGTCTATAAACCTATTCAACGTGTGACAACTCAGCCGGTATTTCGTCGCCTACAGCCCAGCTTTCCCTAGTGACCGATAGAGGCGCTGCTATCGATGTCCGCCCGTGCCGCCTAACGGCTCATGAAAATGAATCATGAAAATGAAATGTGGTTGCAATATTTTTCACCGAGTTCGGTCCTCAAACTATGTTTTTCTGATTCAGAAAAATAAGAAATGCTAGTAAAAAAAAAATCAGCTCCATACATGGATTTTTTTTCGATGATACTGTCCCTTTAAGGCAAGTAAATTGAGCCGGTTTTCGATAAATACAACCTTTTTCGCCAAATATTTGGAAACAGCAAAGTTAAAACTACCGAGCGCTTCCGGGACTCGAACCCTCGACACACGAATCCTTAGTCCGAGACTACCGGTTGCGATAAATATGGGCCGGGCGACGCCGCGAGGAGAATCGGTATGCGGATAGTACGGCGCTCCTGATGTGCAAAGATCTTCACTCTGCATTACATATGCCGTTGTGAGACGCGGTAGTAACGTTCCGGCGTGTATTGGTGCTCCGCTCCAACTGACCACCAAGGGACCAGGAACCCAGCCGGCCGGCCGACCGCCGGAGGGCAGGGCACGGCAGTGGCGTCTCCAGGGACTCAACTCGGGCACACACCGGCACACCACGCACAACGGAGGCGGGAACACCAGCACATCTCCCCTCCCCTCAGGGGTCCCACCTGAGCTCATATTACAGCCATAAGTACCAGCATAACGTAACAACGAAAACAACTTGACAACAAAATAACAACAAAATAACTTGACAAGTGAAAAGAAACATCACGCTGCGCACACGCAAGCCTATCATTACATCTCCTCTATCAGACGCCTCGGCCGTCTCCTCGTCCGCGTCGACCGTCGGAGCGGCGGCTCCTCGGCGAGACGGGACGTCCCCTGAAGCGGCTGTCGGCCTCCGCTGGGCAACTCGGCGCGACGCTGCCCGGTCGGACCTGAGTTGTCCGATGCACCGCTCCTCTCCGCTAGACACGGTTCAACAACAGCATACCTCCGGCGAAGGTGGCACCGGTTGCGGTCTACACTGCCGCCATCGTCAAACCGCACACGATACCTCCGGAACGGTAGGACGTCAGTCACTGTGCCGCACCTCTCCCACCGGCGGGTGCGGACGTCTTGCACCCGTACATGGGTTCCGACTGGGAACTCGGGGAGATCCCGTGCTCGGCTGTCGTAGCGCTCCTTAGTTTTACGACGGCACTCCTCCCGTCGGTCAGCGAACTCCTCAGGGGGCTGCCGTTTGTAGAGATCAGGGTGTGATGGGAGAGTGTCTCTGATCGGTCGTCCGTACACGAGCTGAGCTGGCGACACTCCGCAGCTACCGGGCGTGTTCCAGTGTTGGAGGATCCCTCTCGTCCAGGCGTCCTCGTCCAGTCTGCACCTGCGAAAGTCCCAGCACCTTCTCAATAGCTTTTTAGCAGCCTTCACTCCAGACTCGGCGAGCCCATTAGATTGTGGATAGTGGGGAGATGATGTGTGATGACTGATGCCCCACTTTCTGAGAAAACTTCGGAACTGATATGATGTGAATTCAGTGCCCCCGTCACTCCACAGTGCCTCAGGAACCCCGATTTGTCGGAAGACATTTAACAATGCAGACATGACTTTGGTTGTGCCCGAGTGTAAGCCGAGGTATGCTACATGACGCCATCCAGAAAACCCATCCACAACAACAAGATATTTACCTCCAGCGTGACTTCCAATGTCGACAGTCAGATGCTGAAAGGGTCGTCCTGGAAGCTCGTGCTGGATCAGCGTCTCCCGCTGTTGGGAGGGGAGCTCACTCTGACAGCGGTCGCACGACTTTGTGACGTGATCGACGTCAGCACTCATTCCTGGCCAATAGATGATCTGTCTTGCTCTGGAAATTGCCCTTTCTCTCCCCAGGTGCCCCGCGTGGAGTGTCACGAGCGTTCTCTTCCGCAGGGATGGGGGTATAACGACCCTGCATCCACAAAGAACGATTCCATCGTCCACTGTCAGGCGATCTCGAACTGGCCAGTACCTTTTGACGGCTTCTGGGACCTCTGATTTACTGTCAGGGAAGCCGTTTCGAATGACTTCTGCCAGTAGCTGGAACTCGTGGTCCGCAGCAGCAGCCTCCCGGACCTCTTTGAGACTGATGTCGACGTCATGGGCCTTGAGTTCACTGATGACGATAGACTGGATGCAAGAAGTCGTTGCATCCTCTCCACACTCGTCGTCACCGTTTGGGTGCTCTATCGGGTTCCTAGACAGGGCGTCTGCAGCGCTGTGCTGGGAGGCCGGTACCCATCTTGCTGAGATTGTCCCAAACTCACTCATCCGTAACTTGAGACGCTGCAGCCTTGGATTTTCAATCTCGTCTAGCGTCTTGCTATTGAGAATTGGTACGAGAGGACGATGGTCCGTGATTACTTCGATGCTCGGAAGCCCTCCGATGAACAGGCGGCACTTCTGTAGGCCCCAGCATACAGCGAGCGCCTCAAGCTCGATGGTCGCGTACCGCGTTTCGGCATCACTGAGGAAGCGTGATCCAGCTTGGATGACGTGCCATCGCCCATCCTTGTCAGCTTGTCGCAGAACAAAGCCCAGACCCTTCTTGCGACTCGCGTCGGTTGCGAGCATCGTCGGCCTGGTGGGGTCGAAGAAGCCGAGAGTCGGCACCGAAGCAAGGTGTTCCTTCGCTCTCTCGAACGCCCGCTGATGGTGCTCTTTCCACAGAAAGGTGGTTCTTGGACTCAGAAGAGAACGAAGCGGCTCCATTAGCTCTGCTACACTGTCGGTGAATGGGGACAGCTGGTTGATGAGTCCGAAGAATCCGCGTAAGTCAGAGATGTTACGCGGAGTCGGGAACGCAGATAGAGCTTGAGTCAGTTGCGGGTTTGGCTTGTACCCCTCTTGTGTCACAATGAAGCCGGCGAACTTTGCGGAGCGTTGAGCCAGTTGGAGCTTTCCCAGGTTGAGGGAAATGCCTCGTTCCTCGCATCGAGACAGAAACTCCCGAACGTGCTGGATGTGCTCTTCCAGTGTGCTGCTGAAGATGATGACGTCATCTACCACTTTCCGGTAGTTATCGGGCATTCCCTGCAGTGCCTCGTCCATCCTCCGGTTGTAATGCTCGGAGATCGAAGAGACACCATACCTGGCGCGTTTGAAGGCAAATCTCCCGAACGTTGTGATGAAAGTTGTCAGTAGCCTGCTTTCTTCCGCAAGCGGGCACTGGTGGTATCCCTTGGCAGCATCAACCACTGTGAACCATTTGGCCCTCTTTCCGACAATGGATGCTACTTCTTCTGCTGGAGTCGGTGATTGATAGCGTTCTCGACGGATGTGTTTGTTCAGCATCGAAAGATCCACGCAGAGCCGGATGCCGCCTCCCTTTTTGGCGCTGACAACGATCGGTGCGCACCAGTCAGTCGGAGTCGTCACCGGGAAGATGATGTCTTGGTCCTCAAGACGTTTCAGCTCCTCTTTCAGTGGGTCACGATACGACAGTGGTACCCGTCGTGGCGCGGTGACGCAGAATGGCACCGCATCTTCACGGAGATGGATCTTGTACTCCTCTCCTGGCATGCACCGAATGTTGCCATCAAACACAGTGGGGAATTCCTGCACGAGGTCTGGGATCCTCGTGGCACGTTGCTCCTCTCGGTGCTCGGGAGTGGCTATCTGACCGTTGGTCGTACAGTGAGTGCTCGGAGTTAGTGTCTCTTCCCTGACCTGGGATGTAGATGGCAGTGCAGCTTGGCGACAGCGCGGTGCGGATTCCGCCCGCACAGATGTCGCCACAAAGCGGTCGGGTTGCGTTGTAGATGGCGCTGGCGTGGCCGTGCTGCGCGGCCATCCGGCCGAGCTTGCTTGATCTTCAAAGACCGGGGTAGCAGTCGTACTGCTGTCGTCTGGAGCTGCCGGGTGTCTCGAACCAGCGCTGTTGACGTAGGGCGTCGAGGTCGCGCTCTTCATTTGACGCGGGTAGTCCTTTGGAATAATGTTTAACCGGCGGGTGGTCCTCCATGACATCAGCAGACCCGTGACGCGCGGAAGAATGTGTATGTCGTCATCAACCGTGACGTCACCCAGGGTGATACGAACGGGAAGAACGCCGATCCGTCAGCTGCTTTCGGGTGCTCGTTGGGCGGTAGAAGGTTCTCAGGGAACTCATTCATGTCGTCCAGGAACTGGATACCTCCAACACTGATGTCCGCTCCGGTGTCGGGCAGCGCGTCCACATCAGCAGAGTAGTACGCCTCTACGCGTACCCGCACCCTCGGGGCACCCTGTACCGATGCAGACGCGATGATAGCCGATGTGCTGGGGCTCCGGCGGTCCACGTGATTCGCCGTTTCACCATCCCGCCGGAAACGGACTCGGCCGTGCCCGTCTGGAGACTGCCGTTGGCGACTACGAGAGGCGCGACGATCCCCTGTCGCTGCACGGTGCCGATCGCGGGGAGATGGTGACCGGTACACCTCTCGGGGCGGCGACGACATGTGCCGACCTCTCGGAGACTGAGGCCGGTCTCGCGGCGGAGATGACAGGTACCGATCACGGAGCGGTGGGAACCGATACCGGTCCCGGGGTGGCGGGGATCGGTACCGTCCGTACGACCCCTCGCGGCTCCGCCGGCCGTCGGTCCTCGACCGGCACACAGCTGCGAAGTGGTCCGGTCCCCGGCAGGCCCGACACCGCAGCCCGCGGGCGGGGCACTGCTGGCCGGGTCGGTGCGTCCGCCGACCGCAGCCAGTGCAGGCGGCCGGACCGCCACCGGCCCGGGGCGACCACACCTGCAGGGCCGACGGGCCGTCCGCAGTGCCGCCGTGCAGCTCCCGTGCGTCGCGAGATGCCGCCTCCTGCGCCCTGCAAACAGTAACAGTGGCCGACAGAGATAGGTCCGGTGTTGCACACAGACATCGAACGGTCTCTGCAGACCTCAGACCCATAATGATTCTATCCCTTATAAGCGAATCGCGACATTCAGTGCAAAAATTGCAGCTGCGGGCGAGTTCTCTAAGGGACGTTAAAAAGTCATCAAAGGATTCGCCCTGTTCCTGTACCCGTTCGTTGAACTTTTTGCGCTCAACGACCTCATTGATTTGGCCGTTCGCGTATTTCTCTAGAGCCTCGATGGACTTTCATAAAAGACCGGGTAAAAACTCTTTGAAAACTCTTGTGCACGAGGTACAATCACCATTGAGGTCGCTCAGGTTTGCAGGTAGAAATTTCCCGCCTTTGATGCCTTGCCAGCAAGAACACCTTTCGAGCTGCTTGCTTTCCATGCTGTGGAAGCATGTTATGTAATACCCAGTAGGGGAGAGTGGGGCACATTCGTGCGAAAATGGATAAATCCATATATCTGTTCTTTGCAACGGCAAAATTGTTGATTGTAGTATGGAAAGGAACTACCTATTAGGTACAGATATTTTTCCTCTTTAACCCGCGCCCTGATGGGGGGCCATTTTGGCCCCCCCCCCTGTGGTTTTTCTTTAGCGCGCAGCGCCGCCAAATTTTGGGTACCTTACCGGGAATCAATTTGACACCTTCACACAAAATTTCAAGTCACAGGTCACCTCAGGTCAGGAGTTATTGAGGTCAAACTGAAGTCATGTTCGAGTAAAAAGAAGCAAAAAACATGACATCTTGAAACGCTCACCAATTCTACAGTTAACAAGCAATTTTAAAGTTCTTTATGTTTTTGTGTAGAGAAAACACGGCGCTACAAAACTGCGATCTCGGATTTTCGAAATTTTGGGATTTTGACCCCAAAAAATAAAAAATTGATTTTTTTAGAAAAACTCAAAAAATTTACAACAATTTTTTTTTTCGAGTATCGAAAAAAACCGGAATATATGTGATAGTCCCTGCGCTCTTCGATATACATACCAAATTTTAGATCGATACCTTTTTTTGGCCAAGTTATAGCGAAAAAACTGTTAAAAATTGATGACGTCAAATTTTTGAACTCAATTTTTAGCAATTCTAGACCTTTTAGCGCAAAACGGAGACCACCATTGAACTCCCCGTGACGAGCTGCATCGAATCGATACCCATTTTATGCAAAAATATCAACTTTGAAATTTGACCTAATTTGACCTGACCTTGGCCTGACCTTGACCTGACCTTGACCAAAACGTGACCTAAGCTGGCCCAAAAGTCTGCTTGACCCACATAATCGCATTTGTCATGTAAAATGGACCATAAAACATGCATCACACGACACTTTCATATTGTGACACCCCAGTGACCTGACCTCTGTGACCTGACCTGGTATCAGTGACCTCAAATAGCAAAATATGTGTTTGAAGAACATTTTCCCATCGATGATTTTCAATGAAATGCATTTTACTCGATTTTACAACGCATTTCTTGAAATGCCTGTAAACGGTGAAAATTCGACCTTTGACCTGACCTGTGACGTCATCGGTTTGACCGAGGTCAATGAAATTGGGTCACAAGGTAGTTCCCCGCTGGGGCTATCCAACGCCGTTTACCGCTTGTCGCTATGTTGCGTGGTTCTCGAGATCTTAGGGGGGGCCATAATGCCCCCCCCCCCCCATCAGACCGCGTTGCTCGGCAGACCCCATCAGGGCGCGGGTTAAAAGTTATCCTCTAAAATTGTTGCTTTTATTATAAAAAATGACTTTTAATAACTCTGAACGTTTGCACGAAACTGCCCCTCCTATGGGCCACTTCCGTGCAAGGGGTGGGGCACTTCCGTGCACCCTGCAAAGTTCGAGCAATTACTGAACATTACCAGAAATTTACCAAAAGAAATTGACAAGGGGTCATTTCACTTGATTCCTTTCGACAAGAATGCATTGCACAACATATGTAGAAAAAATGGGCTGGCC